ACAGGTTACACATTAATTGTTCATTAGAGTTTTGACAGAGTTTTGACAGTCATTAAGAGGTTTCGCCCACAACCTTAGAGCTAACAATGATTCAGAGAATAATATATATAGGTAAATATTAATAATTTCAAGTAATGAATTTAATTTTAGAATGTATTATTACTATGATCTGGGCTGAAATCAAAAATTTGGAAAGCATGATGAAAGTCTGAACAGGAAGCAACTTCTTATAACCTATGTGCAGGTTCAAAATTCCAAACAGCAGCAAATTAATAATCCAACCAGGGCTGGAAATAGTACTTTAAAAATCCGGATTTTCCTTTAAAAAATTTTAACTTCCAGAAAAAAAAAGAGTTACTGGATATTTTTCCTTTTTATTTTTATTTTTTTTTGTACAGATTTCCCATCCACATAAAAAAATTTTATACTAAATAATGTATACATATATGTGTATCAATATTTTAGAAAAGAACCATAATTTGTATCTTTTGAATTTTCAGAAGAAAGTATTGACTTAATTTAAATCTTATTTCACTGTTATTAAATTATTAAATTTAAAAATATACACAATTTAAATATGAATTTATGTGTATTTGTTTTCCCTTATTTAAAAAAATAAATTATAAATAAATAGTATGGAATAAGAAGAATTAGATAATCTGACTACTGAAATTTGGGATGAAGCATTTATAAATGAAACAAATATTGATGAACTAGATATAGAAGGTTCAGATGATTTGACAACTCAAGGCTCAGATAATGATGATACTTCAAAAAGATCAAATAAAAAAAGTGAATTAAGTGAAAATCATATTAAAATGTCAAATAAAAAAGTGCATTTTAAAAAATCAGGAAGAACTTTTCATCATGAATGGCTAAACACATATAAATGGTTAAAATATGATGCAGCAATGTTGTATGTGAAATTGAAATATTATGGTGTGAGGTGAAATTCTGATTGGCTAATTTGAATTTCACATATGTGAATTATGAGTTCACATAATTTCATTTTCACATACAACAGCAATAAAGAGAATGTTTTGCACAATTTGTAAAGCACATGGGAAAAAAAATCAACTTGCAGAAAAAAATGACAAATAAATATAATTAATTTTGCAATTATTAATTTGCTGACATTTTAATGCTATTATTTAGGATCAAAAAATGTTTCAAAATCTACTGCTCTAGCAACTCATGCACTTTCAAACCAACATGATGGTTCTTTGCTTCTAGAAAAGGCAAGAATAACCATACAAGATTCTTCCAAAAAAGCCACTAATAATGGTAACAAACATATAATTAATATAATGAAAATGATTTACTGGATGGCAAAAGAAAATATTCCAATTTCCAAACTTCCAAGTCTTATTCACATCTTAAAACTTATAAAATAGTGCACTCAATTCCATTTTCTAGTGTAGATTGTGAAAGAGATTTTAGCAAACAGAATATTATCAAAACAGATTTATGTAGTGCAATAGAAAATGATATATTGCACTTATTAATGATGGTTGGTTTAGAAGGTACTGATTTATTTTGTTATGATTTTAGTGATGCTCTTAGTAAATTTCTTCAAAGTAAAAACAGAAGAATAAAATAAAAGAAAATTCTTAAAATTTTAGCACCAAGAAATTTCCTTTTTTTAAATTTTTCTTCCAGAAAATTCTTAGCATTCAGGAGGAATTTCCGTTTTTTTTTCAGACCCTATTTCCGGCCCTGGTTATTAGCTGAAATTGGGCGAAATTACTTTAAGTTAAATAAGTTGATTGGTATAGTTTTTAATTGTTCATGTTTTATAAAAAATGCCGAGAAGCCCAAATTGCCCAAACTAGTTTGTGCTTTGAGAAAACAGTTTGGACCGGAAACCTTAGTTTACTATCTAAATTGGTAATTTTATTTCTATAACCAGAAGGTAACGCTGAAATCTATTACCAAATTTAGAAATTATGTATGTCGGCTGACATCACTAACTTTCCAAATTTATTAAATTAATTTAAAATTTTGTATCACACAGATCACGAGCAAATTTTTTTTTATTCCTTTTCCCTATAGTACGGAGTGTAACATTACGCATCAATTAACACAAGGAATGGAAGTAATTAGATAGGTGGGTAACTTGGTCAGAATCTCGGAAACTCAGATTCTTGTTACACAACAGAAATTAAAAGTGAATCAAAAAAATTACATATAAATATCTTAATAAACCATTCTTTATTTCTTTATGGGATAAATTCTACCTTATATTTTAAAATACTTGTAAAACTATTTAAAAATTATAAATCAATAAATTACAATAATAAAAATAAATAATTCGTTTGATAATTATTTAATAAATTAATATTATTAAGAATAATAATATAATAATATCTTGTTACTTGGTGAGGACGCATCAACTCAATCATCTAAAATAATCATACTATTCCATCAAAAATGTCCCAAAAACAACAAATTCTTGATAAACAACTACAAAATTATTATTATGATGGACATTCTGTTCGGCAATTTCAGCAAGTACAACATTCGCAGGTTCAAAATTCCGAACAGCGACAAATTTATGCGCAACAAATTAATAATCCAACCCAGCAAATTTTTCAACAACAAATTCAACAAACTCAACAAACTCCAAATATTGATCAAGAAATCATTCCATTCGATAATTCATTATCAATTATTGCAACAAGTCCACCATTTCAAAAAGTGACTGGTATCAATAACAATAATGACATGCTATCAGCGCAATCTTTACCACAACAACCCCACCAATTAGTTTATGTTAAAAGTAGCTCGCATACATCGTCTTCACCTTCGACTAATAACGATATTAGTAATAATTGTCATCAATATAATCGCGATTTAAATTTAAATGTTTCTACATTAAATTGTGGAAACAACAATGAAGACCTTTTTGCGGCCATTTCTTATCATATGTCAATGATTAAAGACCATAGGATGAAGATCAGTCAGCATCATTTTGAATTGGAACAAATTATCAATATGTTAAGACATAGAAATAATCAGGATAGAAAATAATTCTCATTTTATTGTTTTGTTATTTTATTATTTATTTATTTTTATTAAGCAATATCAAATAATCAATATACAAAGAAGAAATGAATTTGTTATTCTATTTGTAATTGATTAAATGATCAAATGCACTTAAGTCATTAAGCACATTTTTATTTTCATTTATATAATATATTTTTTTAAGCAATATCAAATAATGATATACAATTCATTTTACGTTTTATTATTAAACTTTTCTTTAGTAATTCAGATAATTCATATATTACATATTTATCATCATTTGAAAATTTATTTAAAATTTCGAATTTTGAACATCTTCAACAACTCATTTTATATCCTCGTATTGTATCAATTGTCACAATATATTTTTCTTTATATTCTCCACCTTGTATAAAGATTAATAATGAAAGAAGTCTTAAAGCTAAATGTCTTTAAGCGAATTTTTCGAAAGCTTATACACTTGGTTTTCACATATACCTACTTGATTGCATTCAAAATTCAAAACCACAATTTACTTTGCTATAGATTTAAAATTATTTTAATTAGCCTTTGTATCTTTGGTATATATAGCCTTATTTATTTTATTTACTTGATGTATGATTAATGATCAATGATTATTAAAGGCAGATTAGTTCAATGAAGGGCTGCAATTAATAAAAATGTACCAATTTATATATTGACTGTAGCGAGAATATAAGAGACATCAAGTTTATTGATTTGTTATTACAAATATTTTAAAAAGATATGTTAATATTTAAAGGTAATAATTTTAATGGTCTATGTTTTAGTAAAACTCTCATTAAGGAAGAAAAGGCTGTTGTTGCTTTAACTAATGAATCAAAGAAGTAAGTAGAATATACTAGAGGTTCTGTTGTAAGGAAATTGATGATCTCTTTGGTGTTAGATCGCAAACACAGGGGAAATCAAACAATAAATTTAATTAGTAATCATTTTTATAATGAACAAATTTGAGTTAAAGAAAAATCGCTTTGCATATATTGTTATAACTCACCATAGAGATAAGATTTTTTAATTCTGAAAAATATTTGGAACTTGCAATTCATATCTCTAGAACATAACAGAGCCACATTTCAAAAATATTGATGTGATTTTTGTCATTCTAAAAAATCATAATAAACAAAAAAAAAATAGCAGTTATGTTATAGAGGAGTTAAAATATTTTTAAATTTTTTTATAACGAATTTGCTTCCAAAATTATAAATGTTCTAAGATTTTAAATTATTAAAATAAACAAAATCTGAAAGACATATTGTTAGCCCTCTAGAGGAAATAAAAAAGTTTATAAAATATCGATCAAACTAACTAATACTGATAAAAAACAAAATTTGATGCACAAAATCTCATGGGAACCATAGTATACCCAAAAGATAAACGTAAAGGAGAAATATCATCTCATTATCTTATACAAAAAGCCCAGGATTTTGTTGCTTCTAGATTATATAAGCAGAGCCTTGTTGTAAAAATGGGCTAGATCCAACTAATTGCTTACCGGTGATACTTCATATATGTTGGAATTCAATAAAATGGCTAATATAAATTTATTTAGAATCCCATGTGAATTGCAGGTCATTCACATAGCTTTAACAAATTTTCAAAATGTTGCATTTGGAAAATTAGATTCCTCTTCTGAATATCTCTCCAAGAACATTCAATCAGTCTTATTTGATTGGCAGTTCATTTACACAATGGTTATAATGAAAGTAAAAGATAGTCCATTAAACATGAATCAAGACAATAAAAAATATCTATGAAGCTCTTGTTGTAGCAAATGTTTCTTTTTCTTTCATTAATTTCGTCAAATTTTTGTAACATAATTAAACGATCAATATTTAGAATATTTTTAAAAAATAGCGATTATCACACCAATGACCAAAAAGGAATATACGCGTGTACATATTTTTTCAAAAAAAAAATGATTATCCAATTAACGATCAGAAAGAATTGTTACAAATAAAATATAACAACAATAATAACATTGTTGGCTTTATGTTTCAATTCAAAGTATTGAAAACTGTTTTAGGTGAATTAAAATAGTCCAATCCATTGTATATTTGTATACTTATGATACTGTATATTGTAAGCAAATGAATGTTGGTAATCGTTTACAAAATGAAAAGTTGTTTATTTAAACAATTAAAACGAAAAATTCGAATAAATAAAGCGAATAAACGAATAATTCGAACAAAACGGATAAAACGAATAACTCAAATTAACGAATAACTTGAATAAAACGAATAAACGAATAATTCGAGTTCAGTTGATTCACAAGATCTATTGATAGAAGGTTTGTCACGAATTATCTTTATAATCGATACTATAAAGGAAGTAATTAACAATGATAACAATATAGGAACAACAAAACGGCGAAGGTTGACTTTGTGGTTTATTCTAAAGATTTGCAGCATTTTTTTTTTTAAAATTTTTAAAATCTTTTTTTTTAATATATATAAAAAAAAAATGACGACCATAGATGAAATTAAAAGAGGGATAAAAAAGGCAGAAGGAGAGTATGAAGAGGCGAAGAAGGATTTGTAAGAAATTGTAAAGGAGGAGAACTTTAAAGAGTTGTGGGGGATGGAAGATTTAAGGAAAGAAAAAGAGAGGTCGGAGAGAGAGAAGGTGAAGTGGGGAGACCACGTAATTTTCTTGGAACAAATTGTGTAAAAAAAATTATTTTCCATTCATTCCATTTCGTTTGTTTATTTATTGGCATGTTGTTTATAACATTGGTTAACTTATATTTATCATTGGTTATTTGCTTACTTTGTCTTGAATTAACTTTTGAATTACCTTTTACAAATTTATTATATAGTTAAAAAATAGCTGGAATACTTGCATTTATTTGTCACAACATTGACTATTTTGTGTTTTACTTTCACATTTTCACACATATGTCTGCTTTTATTCCTTTTGAGACAATCTGAAGGTGTTTCAGGTGAGTCTGTTGTATGTGAAGTTGAAACTTGTAAAATCGAAATTTATAATCAAAATTTTGGGGTGGTGTGTTTGGATATGAAATTTCTGATTGGCTAATTTGAATTTCACATATTGTAATAATGCAGTTATATGTAATTTGAGACAAGGAATCTTTTCAGCTTAGAAATATAGCCATATTTACTTAATAAAATTTTGAAATATCATCAAAATGTCAAAAAAAAAATGACCGATTTTCTCAGATATGTGAATTGCAAATTCACATAAATTTCATATTCACGCACAAGTCCAAATATCTATTTATTGGTGCAGCCTTAACTAGTTTTTGCTTTTTTTTTTTGGTTATTTATTTTAACTAAATATGCAATCTTATTCCTTTACCCTGAATTAATTAATTTTTTTGGCTTTTCTGCTCATATTTATCTAGGTAAGAAACAAATTGCATAAAAAAAATATATATATATAAATCATTTCACTCATTCCATTTTGTTTATTTATTTATTTATTTGTCTGTAAAAATATACAAAAAATTATTTTTTGTTCATTTCATTTTGTTTATTTATTTATATCTTATTTTTTCACTTCAATTACCAGGAATCCGACATACATGCTCAACATCCTCTGAGTTAGATTAATGCTGTTAAGCATCTGAAGAGTAAGTTGAACTGGACTGGATATTAGTTTGCAGAAACTGAAAAATTTGGTCTATTTAACAAGTCTCTATATTCTCTCTAGTATTCAAGTCAAGGAGTGACAATATCGATATTCTTAAGGAATAACGCCTAGCACCTATGCCAATTCAGGCCATGTTGGTGTTGTTAATCATGTGAAAATTTGCCACCACAGACCCATGAGTCAATCAGATATTCCAATCAGGTTCTACTGTGAAGTCTTTGAGACATTCAGAAATTTATTTTATGACAACACCATCACACTTTCTGATAATGAGGGAATATGCAAAGCTCATCCTAGAGCTCTCAGTTCAGCTGTCATATCTTGAAACTACAGAGGAAAACTCTTTAAAAGAAGTTTTTGAACTATATCTTACAAATTTGAATGCAGCATTTATAATAGAAAATTACAAGGATAGTAGTGCATATAATACTGATGGAACAGCTATCAAGAGAGTTGCTGGTACTGAGTTTGTTATTCTCAATTTAGAAGTGAAAACAGATTAGGGAACCCAGCAGTGTTCATACTTGTAAAATGCAGCTTATTATGCTAAGTTTATGAAAACTCATTGGAATGTAAATGGACAATATACTGAAAAGATATCTTATCCTTGTTTTCTACTTACTTTGGATGGTAAGAATTTTTTTTAAATCTTATCTTTAGTCGTTTTTAGTTTATATAAACTAAAAACGACTTCTTTTGATGGTAATAACAGTTGTTTATACATTTTTTAAATTCTATTTAGGTCACCACAAGTATATTATTTTTGCTTCTAGTCCATATAAATGTGTTGAAATTCATGTCTCAGGCCACATCAAAGAAACAAAAATTCGTCATATTATTTATGAAACACATATATAACTGAAAAAAGAAAGATGCTTCGCCACCACCAAAAAGTTATTCTTAGTAGCATATATGATAAAATAAATAAATAAAAAACAATAATGAATCCAATTATTGAAATTAAATAGCTTTTCTTAAATGTAAAATAAACAAAATTTTTTATTCTTGCCAAAAAAGATATTAATTATTTGCACGATAAAATGTTTATCACGTAGAAAAAAGGTATATCAAAAAAAAATTTTTTTACATTAGTTGTCGTACGACAAATTTTTGCTAAATATGGTGAAACCATTGATCGCGCTAAAAACGAAATAACCAGGCACGGCTTAGCAGTCGCAGGACATTGCGTATTTACAGGGGGTCAAGTGTCACTCATATATGGGGCATACTGCAACAAAACCAGACAAAGTGAACATTGTTATTACCAAGGATTTCAGGGATCAAAATTATTTGAATATTTTTTTAATATTAAACTCGATAGCTGAAATTCTGATGTCAATTAATATAAAAGCCAAAATGTCAAATATTTGGCAAATGCAAATTTGGGAACTTTGGTTTTGGCTGAAATTAATTTGGCTTTTATGAAATACTTTTGACCAGAAACCTTAACCTATAACCCTATATATAATTTTATGTTTGCTTTGTAATTTTTATTTTAATTTCAAAGTAAGATATTTTAATGATCTCAAACATATTTTGATGATTCTGGTTTTGTGGAAATTAATGATTATAAACCTTCAACACATATATACATACTAACAGTTTTTTTAAGTCTAATAGCAATAATATTTTATTGAATTATAAAATACAAGTAACTTTGGATGTAATGATTGCTGTTTATAATAACACAAATCTTTTTGGTTCTTTTATGATATAAACATATTAGAATAAATTCTACTATAGTCCCAGGAGTGTTGCTATATCCATTTATTAAATTTTTTATAAATCTATAGTCAAATTCTAGAACTTTTCAATACAAATCTTGAAAAAGATTCAAAAAAACATTTTCTTTGACTTTTTTAATGATTGGTGTATCTGGTGTTGTGTAAATTGGTGAAGTGGGTGGTGACGGTGTTCTTGATTCTTTTTCTTTCATTATTTTTTTTAAAATATCTGAAATATAAAGCATTGTATGCTAGCATATACAATCAATCAATCAATTAATATTAATAATAAAGACTCATTGCAATGCCAAGATTTACATCATTAATAAAAACCAACCCTAAGAGCCAGTATATTTTCCATAAAATAGGGAAGAGAAGAATCTAAATCAGCTAATGATGTTGGGAGTTTGAATGATCTTAATTTATTAAAAAAATAGAATTTTAATTCATGATCATAAGTCATTGAATAGATATCCCACGTAAAGTCTATTAAAGTATTGAAATGAAAAGACATTAATTTTTTTTCAATGCCAAACAATGGCTACCTAACAATCATTTTATTACCTGACATTTGAATACCTAATATCATTAATTTGGCAAGAGATTCTTTAGAAATGTTCATTTTTTCAACGAATGCATCCATGCAATCCTTTAAAGCAATTTTTAGCTGATTATAGTCACTATTTGTATCTGTTAAATTTTTATCTATACCAATTTCTAATAATAGAATTTCAATATCATAACATCTTATTTCAATAATTAAATCAAGCTTTCTATCATCATTGGTTAATTTAGTATATTCTGGGTTTATATATCTTCTTTTTCTTGCTGTGACTGCTTTGCACCCTTTTTCAAGCCTAATAATTCAAAATGTAAATTCTCAATTCCTTGGAATATAGATAGTCCAGAATTATAAATAGAACAACATACCAGAACAAACGAAATTTTCCAAGGTCATAGCTTTCAAATATTTTTTTAAATATTGGAGCAAAAACATTAACAATCATATCCCTTTCTCTGTCAGAAGTCATTATGATATTAATATTCTTCTTAAAAGTTTTAATACTGCAATAAATAATAAATCAATAACTTTGTTACACATGAAAATTACAGTCATGTTTGATATTAAACTTACAAAAAATTAGTAATTTTACTGGCCAAAATAGCATCTGTATCATTTTTGATTTGATCAAAACTCACTTTCCATGTTACCAAATCTTCAATTAATTGCTAGATTAGACAACAAAAAAAAATGTCAGTAGTCAGATAAAAAGATTGCAAAGACTATGTATATAAAACTCACCAATTGATTAGGAGGATCTTTTATTATATTCAGGACTTCACTAGAAATATTTCCTTTTAAAAATTTTGGTATGGTTTTTTTAATTAAATCATAACGATCAGACATCTTGAGTATAAATTTCCAATCTACAGATTCGGTAAGATCAATTATCCTTGCTTTAATAGACTGCACTTCAATATTATTAACTTTTAGACAATTCATTGCATTATTCCAAATCTCTTCAATATTTATCTTGGAATTAATAAGTGTGATGTTCATTGCTCATAAGTATATCAATTAATTTTTAATCATTAAAATAGGCATGAATATTGATATGAGCTGATTTGATACTTGCCCCATTAGTAACTATGTCATTACCAAGTTTTTTCTTATCATTAGAGAACTGTGATAATGGTGATCGATTTTCCTGTAAGTCAGAATCAGAAATTGGATTAATATCAAAACAGTCAGTCTTGCCATTTGAAGAGAATGCAGTTTACTTCTTACTTTATTGCGTTTGTCATATTTGTCAGACGTTTCTCTAAAAGTAGATAAATCAAAATTTTAATTTAATCTAGAATGACAACAAGTAATAACCACCATTTTTTAAATAATAACTAGAGTGACGACAAGTGGCGGGCGATAACCACCACCACCATCCTTAAAACACTTACTCGCGTCGTTCTTTATTTTTATTATCGCTTCTTTTTCTTGTTCCTTGGGACATTTTTAAAAAAAAAATTTTATAAAAGTTTGTGTGATCGACGCGTACTCACTAATTATTTTATTGGTTTTTTTTTGGTAGGACAGACACGAATTGATTTTTTTTTTTGGAAAAACAAATTATTTTTTGACAGAGTCCAAAGTAACAAAACGTGAGTGTTGTTGTTTGGTTTGGCTTGAATCTCCTAAAGAAAACGTGTTAATAACTAACCAGAGATACTTTTTTTTATTTGTATTGATATGTATGTGGTGATTTTTATTTTATATAAATATTTTAATTGGAATCAAAACGCGGAGCAGATCTTGCTGGGTAATTACAAGATTTTCATTGATAATATTTT